AAAAAAAAAAAAAAGGTGGGCAAGTGGGTGTCGCTCTGCTGTACAGTAGGTTACAAGTGGGTCACTGTATAATGGATGGTATTAAATTTGAATTCAATGATATAATATCATTGTATAAGAAAAACGATTCTGAGCGGTGATGGTATGTCAGTCTATGTATAAGGCATATTATATACATATCTATGGTATTAAACAAAAAATTGACCTATAATAGGTACCTATAATAAATTCCAAATTAATCATATCACAATATCCATTAGATACTTATAACGCGTTATACATCAACAAAAACCGTGATACTATCATAGATATATAATAGTACACTTTAGAAGTTTCAAGTACCCACGAATAGTATTATTCAATCACAACAAAATAACTAAAATCGTAATTCTTGGTTTAAATATGAAATTTTGTCTAAATTTGAAATTAAAATGTCTGTAAAAAATAAGTGTGTTTATATATTTTTTAGATTTTTTGGTTACAGTATGAATTATTTAAGAGAATCTTTGTTTTAAATTTTCAACTCTTAGTTATAAAAACTGAACATTTTATAATTTTTTAATTCCAACGATTGATAATTTTCGAGATTTTGATAAATTTTGTCAAAATTCCAACTTTAAATGCTTATAAAAAAAAATCGTGCCTATGTATTTTTAATATTTTTCAACTGATATTGTAACAATATATCAGGAGCCTTGTATTAAATTTTTATACTTTTTGGCCCAACAGATAAAACTTTATTGATATTTATAGAAAAAAAAACTAAAAAAAATTGAAAGCTGTAAATGTCCATAAACAGCTCAAAAAGAGTCAAAATATTTTCAAAATTGTATGGTGTGTAGGAAATGCTAATATAAACATTCAGTGAAATTTTCATGTATCTACAGTTATTCGTTTTTGAATTACAACAAAATAAGGAAATCGCTACATGAGAAATCGAGTGAAAATCCAATGTTGTAAAAATTTGAATTTCAAACGCTCATAAAAATTTAATTTAACTGTCCGGTAGAGATTTTTTTATTGATAAAGGTAGATAATCTTATAAGGAATCTTGTGTTTCATTTTCAAATCTTAGATTTAAAAAGAAAAATTTTTACGAATTCTTAACTCAAAATAATTTGCTAATTTTCGTGATTTTTCCATATTTTGTCAATTTTTGAACTTTAAATGCTTATAAAAAAAAATTGTGACTAAGGATTTTTAATATTTTTCATCTGCCTTTGAAACAACATATTAGGAGCCTTCTATTAAATTTTCAAGCTTTCGCAACCAACAAATAAAATTTTATTGATATTTCTAGAAAAAAAACTAAAATAAAATGAAAAATGAAAATGTCCCTAAACAGTTCAAAATAAATCAAAATATTTTGAAAATGTTATCGTGTATAGAAAATGCAAATATAAACAACCAGTGAAAATTTCATGTATCTACGGTCATTTGTTTTAAAGTTACACCAATAACCAAATTCGATTTTTTGGAAAATCGATTTTGCGTAAAAATTCCCGTTTTTCCTTAATTTTTATGTTGTTTTTCCCGGCGCTTGTGAAAACTACTGGAAAATGTTTACTTTTGACCCCCCAAAGTACCAACTAGATTCACTTTCCTATCAGAAAAGGTACTATTGAAGAAAATCGAAGCACTTTTACTGTCCCAAAACGTGATGACAGACACAAAAAAAAATATAAAAATATAAAAACATACATCATTGTAAAACCAATACATTCATCGCTCCGCTCAGAATCTAAAAATAAATAAATAAATAAACACACATCATTGTAAAATCAATACATTCATCGTTCCACTCAGAATCTATAACAAGTTACCCATTAGGTGAAATATATCTAAACATAATAGAACAAACGCAAAGAAAATGTTCAAACTATTTTTAGAATATGTTTCCCGTTATTCTCCCGCAGTTGACAAAATATATTAAATAGCTTTTATTATTAACTTAACAATGACACTATAATATAGTATAAGTGTATAACATAAATTATTATGCCAACGGTAAACGGACAAAATAATTAGGCAAGTTTGTAAATTGTACGGTGGTTTTTGGCCATAATATTATACCCTGTCACCGTCCCGAATGGCACTCCTACGTTCAGGGTATCTAGTGCAGTGGCATGCAGTGCCCCCCCCCCCCCACCATGTTTACCCATGTGGATTTACGACTCCTCGCCATGACGTTTCTTGTATGCACCCTACACACCAGCAAGAAATTTTCTCATTTGTCACATCGCTTTCCAAATAAAACATAATGGACACTTGACAGTGGGTGTTATTCCTCTTTGTTATGCTTTCCCGAATTTAAAGTGTAAGGTCCAAGAGTGATCTTCTATTCAATAAAATATTCAAAACAACCAATCTATAATAAAATATTATAAATTATATATATATATAGAATGGAAACCATGATACCACCAACGGCTATCATGGTTTTATTTTATACTTTTATAATATTACCTGTTTGAATTTTGAATACTTTAAAGTTGACTTAGAATTTTGAATCCCAACAATAATGACCACAATAAATTTGTTTTTTTTTTTTTGTAATGAGGAATTTAAGTTCCTAAAATTATGTGTGAAAAATGATAGTTTTTGTGATTGTAATTCATAAGGGGCCTCGCAATGGCATTGATTTAAGGAGAATCATTTAGGCAATTTCTAATCTCGTCGTCGCCACCCGAGATCTATGTGTTAGTCGTAAATGATTATTAGTGTGTGTGGCGTCCATGCGGGTCAATTGTAGTGGTGCGGAGGGCTCTCGCACGCACTCGCACACACATGTCAATATATAATAATATTGTGATCATGAAAAAATGCTTATTAGTTATTTTTCACTTAAACATACGATTCTAATTCCAACAGTACGTCGCAACGATTACCTCGATTTTCATTCTGATAAAATATTCTTATTTTCCACAACATGTACGAGGGATCGATCGAGGCACATTTTAAAATTGTATTTAGTTAATTAAATATTTAAGTTGGAAATTCTGTATTTTTTTTTTTGATTTTTTTACAATTTTTATTGCAATTTAAATTACAAAAATTAAAAATGTGGCTCGATCGTTCCCTTGTATATATTACGGACAATCAGAATATCTTTTCAGAATGAAAATCGTGATAATTGTCGACACGTATCGTTGGAATTAGAAACAGTAGTTTTTGACAAAAAAGACTTGGTAATGAGGCCCCATAATGATGTATTCAAAAAAGCCATAACCCTAACCAATATGCCTAGTTAAAGTGTATGCAAAATAAACTTGATAAATTAAATGTACAATTTCTTCTGTTCATTACGACAGTATGAAATAGATGGAATGTGAGATACAACATCAAGAACACACAATGCAAACTATAGGGATCATATTATTATTTATATTTTATCAATACAAGTCATATGTGTTGCCTAAGCAGTACTCCTTACAACACGGTACGGCGAAGATTAATTATTATTCGAATTTATTAGTTTTTGATGTGAAACATCTATGCGCCTTTAAAATAATAATAAAAAAAAATGTTTTCTTAAAATAAATCTGAATATTTTGTTTTTGATTATGCCATGTTTATTTAATATGATAAACCTAACTTTTCAATTTTCATGCATATTTCTATACAAAATATTTTCGAGTTTTTTTAATTACGAAAGGCACGTCGTCACAAAGAGTAATACTTACATGTATGCAGCGAATAATAACAATAGATTAAAAAATAAAACAAAAAAAATCATTTATATTATAGCACCAAGACGGTTCACTATATTATTATATTTGTTTCATTAAAATCTGTACAACACACACACGCACACGGTTTCTAATGTTTTATAATACAACACATTTTTTATGTTAGATTTAACAATACATTTCACTAAAAATATTTACAGTAAATGCATAACAAGGATAAATTAAGACTTTTAAAATTAATAATAATATAATATTAAGCTACGATATAATATCATTATAAATCATCTCTGCACAGAGGTATAAGGGGCGCACGCGCACACACACATAATAATATAGTAATATGCACATTGTTATGATTAATATTATTTCAGTATTATATTTTGTTTATATAATATTTTATTCGTTACATATTTTATCACCCACGACCTTTGCGATCACAATCGGGTTTCGTTATCTCGTTGGAAGAGGCGAATATCACAACACTACGACAGGTGGGGTGGGTGGGGTCAGCGAGACCGAGCAGAGTAAGTTTGATTCTCTTAATAACGACAATATTGCTATCGTTCGCATTTCATAAATAACTATTATAATATTATATCCTAACCACACGTCGGAGCACACGAACATGATATTATTACGTCGTAATATCGTGTTACAATCTAATAATATTATGTTTTGACGGGGCGTCGCAAATGGGGGATGGTCGAGCGACAGGTCTCCGTCGACTAGAGAAGACCGTTTCGAATGGATTTAGCGAAAACAATAACACGTACTACGACTAAATTATGCTCGTCTCTCGACCTATACCGTTTCGAGTCTATATTTACACGGAAAAATCATAAATCGTACACACACACACACACACACACGCGTTGTTCGAGAGCAATTTATTAATAAGTATAAAACCCACAAGCACACTCACATAGAGTCGATGCGACTTCGAAAGACGAGCGAGTGGTTTTTGGGGGGGAGGGGTAGGGCAGAAGTGATAAGACGTGAGTCGTTCCGATTGTAGAGATCTGACGGGGGGGGGGGGATAACCCCGTTTAAATCGTTTCTGTGTTTCAGTCGATTTTTTCATCCTACCAAGTTTTCCTCGAACCGCACGCAAGCTCGAACGCAAAATTGTTTTACAATAATATATTATATTTTATGATGTCGCCTTCCTCTGCGACCTATTGTAATTTATTTTAGTTTATATTTCTTTTACCGCACCAACAACACACGTACATAGTATATATATATTTATACTATAGTATTATGTAACATGTGTGTTTTGAAAGCGTCAACGTTTAAAAATATGTAATTTTTTTAGTCTTCGAGGGTTTCCTTGAGCGCGCGCAACTGCTCCTCGCCCAGCTGAATTTTGTCGGCGATCTCGCGGGCGTCGATCAGAAGTTTGGCTTTCATCGCGATGAAATGATCGTAGTCCGAGTACTCGTCGGCAGTCAGATACCGGCAAAGTATGGTCGACACAAAGTCTCCACGCCTGTCGATGTTCTCCTTCAGCTCCTTGGCCTCTTCCAGTTGACCGGTCAGCTTGCACTTTTTCTCCTCCAGCGCCTTCTGCGGCACGAAAAACGGGGAAAACGTTGTTATTATTACTATTAACGTCTTCATTTAAATCAATAGAATTGTTGTATGCGCGATACGGATAAAACATAACCAAAAAGACTATTCATGTGGACTGTAAAATTCAAAAAACACGCTATAACCCTACAATTAACCATATTATTGAGAAGCCCACGGGGACCGGGTAAGCAACCGGAGAAAGATTCTATTTCAGTGAATTTTGCTAAATGTCAACCCCTGATGGTCGGCGATGGAAAGATAATGTCTCAGATAAACAAGCAGTACCGATTTAATTACCATTTTATGATAATCGATATTTTTCGACCACTGCTGTATTTATATACCGAGCACCCACGTATATAAGGTGAGTGGGGGGGGGATGTATTTAAGTCACCAAATCGTATTTAAAACAAAACCAAGAAACACCAATGTTCTTATTATTTTGTTCAATATTGATTTTGTATACACATTTACTGCATCTACTACTATAATAATATATAGTTAATGTCTGTATGCTGATTAATTCAAGGGTACCTACCTAATTTAATGGGCCAATCGCGTGCTACTATACCGTATTGGGAGACCACATTAACTCGAAATCTATTCTCTTAATGAACTTTTGTGCAACCTTGCACGATAAGAGTCACGGAAAAAAATATAATAATATACTTTCTACTTAAAAAATACAGTCCAGAGTGAATTTTGGTTACGATTTTATGATCTGAACCGCAAGCACGCACGCACGAGCCCTAACGATTATTATTATTATTATTTACCTTTTCCAAATGGTCTGCGTCCAAGTCCAGCAGTGCGTTTTCCGCTCTGGCCAAACGTCCACTCAGACTCAACAGCAGACTGGTAATGTGGCCCACTTCCTGTACATGAGTTTTGAACTTGTTGGCTTCCTGAGGCTTGGCCACCGACTTAACCCGTTCGGCCACCGACACGCCCAGAGTCTCGTTCAGCGCCGCCTCTTCGGCCAGCGCGATTTGTTCATCTCGGAGTACTTTCAGCTTTCTGTCCAGTCGAGACACTAGGTCCGCCTGAAAAATTATTTTTCTTGTTAGCTGGAGTGTTGTAGACGTACTTAAGAAAAAATTGCTTAAGTATAATATAGCGTTGTTGAGTTGAAAACCCTTCAACGCGTAATTTAATAACATACAAATCTTAAACAACGTTTATCATATGATAAAACTATCATATTATTTAATATTTTGTACTCGCCTTTTTCTTTTGCAAGTTTCCGATCCCGTTGCATTCGGCCGGCGGTTGTATCTGCCGGCTGTAGTGCTGCAGGTTCAGGAGTTTCGCCTTAGGTTCGGACGTGGTGTAGTAGGATGAGTTGGCCGATAGTCCGGCGGCGGCAGTGGTATTCGACGAGGTGCTAGTAGTGGAGGTGATTGGACCGCTGCGAACAAATCGTAAAAAGTCAAAACACATCCATCTCGATATTTTTCGTTTCTTGTTTACGCAAACCAAAAATAGGTGGTATCATAATAATCATAATATTGAGCTTCTCTAGTATGACAAAAATATTATGATGGAAACCATTTCCAAGACCATATTTTAAAAATACGAAGTTATATAGGCCAGGACAAATAAAGCCGATGTATGACATACGTGTTTATACACTGGCTGCAGGGATATGTGGGTTACAAAGACGGATGTGATGCATAGGGGAGTTCGACCGACGCGTATAATTAATATACAGTCATCAGCTGCTACGACGATATTCGTGTCGACCGTGTTTAAGGAAAAATCCACGTCAATTCGTCAACGTTAACTGTATACATTAATAGGTACAAAATATTATTATGCACAGTCGCAGTTATAAACGATATTATCAACCGTCTGCGGTGCGGGTATAATGAAGCCGATAAAAATAATGTATGATAATTATTCAAACGGGACATATTATAATGATCGTCCCGTATATAAAACATGCGGTACGAAAACTGCCAATAACGACGCTCGACTGATATGGTTTAATGTACTTTCGGGAAAATTATAAAAACGAGTGATAAAATTCAGATACTGAATATTTAGTCTTTTATGGGTTTATATTCTGTAGTCACACATTAAAAAAACTTGTACTTCTACCACACTCTGTAAACTGTAAAAAACTATAGTAAAAAATAATCCAAACCACGAATTATATTTAAATTAGTTCTCTAAAAAAAAGTATATTATTTACCTATATATTATGTTCGATTTCATTTTAACGCTACGACATCGGCCAATCATGGGATTAATATTCAACCGAATGTGGACGCCGTTGACCGGCGATTACAATTTACATACATATTTTAATTTTATTATTCGTATTTTATATAATATAAAAAATAAAACGCGACCTGATGAGAATAATGCGACGATATTCTCAAGATGCTTGCACCACACTCACTAATCAGACACAAATATGCGTGAACAATGTACATGGTATACAGAAAGTACCACTCGTTCGGAATGATTCAGAATAATAGTGATAAAAAAAATAAACAATACCTAAGCGAGGAGTGTGTGTGGGGACAATATAGATAAGACACTGTACACATAATATAATACGATAAATATGATAATAAAATGTCATACAAACCGTGAAATAGATGAAGGTAAAATAAATAATTAATATAGATGTATTATATAGGTACCAAAAATCAAAATACAACGAAATTAATAGAATTTCATACGCACATACCTAATATTATTATTTAACAACCGACTCGCGGTTATATAAATAATAATTGTACTACAGACTTACAGAATTTCGATGTAGCATATTAAGTCCCCTAAGCCGATAGACTTCGTGACATTTATTACATTTTTGTATAGTTCAATGCACGCACATCGTGATGTCCCCAATCCTTCAGGTACAAAGATATTCGTCAAAGACACTTTTTAACAACATTTCATATCGGATTTAAGCGTACGTGGTAAGTACGTTTTTCGACTCTTGTCGGAATAATTGTAATATGGGACGCATACCATATGTGTCGTTGAATTCTGTTGGATTATCTACCCGTGGCAAAATACCAGAGCTGTTAAGTATATCACGGCAGTTACCGGTTATACGGTCTGAGGATTATTCCCGAAGCCAATGGGTACACAGAGGATCGTCGTTAAATACTCGAACGTTATTTGTATGGTGTCTGTATATAGGTACCTACGACTATATACGTATGGATGAAGCATCGTCATGTACACACCACTTTACATATTCCTTTGTGTATTTTACGCATACACAATTCCGTCACATTCATTATACCTGCATTTATTTTAACCCGACCGCCATACACACGAAATTCGACTCAATCGTATTACCATAACATATAATAATATACCTAATTTCATCGTCGTAATTACCACACAGTGCCAATCAGTCATCGCCACTCGATAATATTCTGCGAATTTATCACTCGTGTGGATAACGTCATCACGACGTCTCGTATACTATAGTAGAGGTACCTACGTATTTATTCATAAAGCGATGGTAGGAATGATGTCGCGTATCATATTAATATTTTATTATCCAATTTTATGCGGTATATACACGCAAAGCGGTAAGTGCCAACATATAACATATTAATTCGTTTATAATAGTATAATAATTATTACATTATTATTATAAAATTAGTATGGGACCGAGCTAAGTGCGAAAATACGTCGAAGTCTGCTAAGCGAGCTCGACGTGCAACCACGTTTATTCTTTCAGTATTGTTATTGTAAATCAGTTGGTTTAACCCACGGTTATCTACACAGGTTGGCGCACGGCGTGTTATCGATGGTCGATGCGGCGAACGCAGTGAACTAAAGCGCTAGTAGTCACAAGGCCTAACTGGTTACCGGCTGGACGAGTTCACTCGTGATGAAATAATTCTAATCGTGATTATAAATTATAATTTTTTAATTACTATATTTGAAAGCTGAGTACTTAATTAGTATCTAATGTAATTTAATTACATAAAAAAATAATTCCCCCAACACTTGACTTATACTTCGAAAAACTCTCTAAATGGCTGACATCAGCAAATAATAATTAATGACTACAAGTCTTTCTTACCCAGTTATAATTTATTTTATTTATAAAATATCTGTAAAATAAAATATCAAATAAACATAATAATATGTTATTATTACTTTGTTCATTACTTATTCTTTATGTAATAAAACCTATTTAGTAGTTGGTTAATACTTAATAACTAATTTTATACCTAACTAATTTACAGTTTATAATAATTTTATTTTTGTTTTTTCATCCCAGTAAAGATTCTTGTAGCCTGAAAACCAAAAAAAAAAATAATGAAAAAAAGGTAATATATTTGTTAATTCAGCTTTGGATGATGCATTATGATCACTGTCCAATGATTTACTGATATTCAACTCACCAACATATGCTAAATACATAAATAAAGGAATACATATACTATAATATACCAACTTACATAATTTATATTTATTTCAACTTATGAACTAAATTTAAAGCTATATTAAAACATAACTTTACATTTTATCTTTAGATAATTTAATTTTACTTAATTTTAATATTTCTTAAATACTACTGAATATTGAATATAATAACTAACTAATTGTTATAAAATTAACTAATTTTTTTGTACCTTTTCTGTGTTGCTTTTGTAGCCTGAAGTACATCCAACTATACAACACTTAGCCACCATCGCAATAAAACTACCTACTACCAATTAAGTAATGACAAAAAGACATACAGTCATACAGATTACAGAACAATATTGTCGAAATTAGAAAATTATTTTGTTCGTCTTTTTCGTGCAGTTATCATGTTATCTCCAGGTTAGGTGTCGGTTGTGTTCTTATCACCTTTTCACGGTCTACAATAATTGTGTAATGTTTTTAATTCGTATTTTTAGTCGTTTGGACGATATTAACGATTTGAATAAAAAATCTTCGATTTCCCAGTACATACAAATGTAAACGTAGGCCCACTGACTACTAGCGCTAATAGTTCACTACGGTCACCGCATAGACCACACGTCTGCATTAGCATCATAGTGGCGTGCGCCAACCTGTGTAGATAACCGTGGTTTAACCTAACCTAACTATGGTCGAAACGGAAACGCGTCGTCGAAAACAGACATTATATTTTGAAAACAGTTTGCTGTAGCGGATGTCTCACACATGACGAAATGCATGATGTTCGTCGGGGGAAAGTAACATCGCTTAGCTTAATGTATATATATATTTAAGAAAAATAACATTTGACTTACCACATGGCGTCACTGCTACTGCAGTCGATCAGTTTTTCGGCGACCGAAGTTCTGGACCGAGGTACCAAGTCCATGCGGAACAGCGGAGAAACATAGTCTGTAGAACGTTTCACGTCCGGTCCGGGAGCTGAAACACAATATATGACGAGGTCAGACTAAGCGGATATCATATGGACACTCGAATAACGGATTTACCTTTGTCCTTTTTCTCTGAACGTCAGAAAGCAGCGAGGAAACGAATAATACATGACATATTAGAATAATGCACACGGTTTTCGTCAAAAGGGATGCAGGGAAGGTTGCAAGTATTAGTTTTATTAAGGGATTTGGTTGTATTCAAATATAAGTAGAAGAGTGAAAATGTACAATATTCTCCAACAGTATTGGCAAAAAAATTGTATAATATTATTAAAGCAAATAAAATTACATAAATAGTTTGAAGTTGAAAATAATTGATCAAAAATAATAATAATTGAAAAAAATTATCGAACAATGTAATTTAAAACTATCGATATTATAATCCTCTTACATTTTTATCATAATAGATATAGCCGTTTTTGCTCAACACTGTATAGGTAGGTAAAGAGGGGTTAGAAAGAATTCAGAAAGTATTAATAAATATTCATAAATTAGATTCAGAAGTAAAATATAGTAATAATAAAGTAATTATTAAATGAGAATAAAAGCTAAAAGGGAATCCGTGCTGCATAATATATAAAATAATAGTAGTAACTCACCCAGTATGTTATGGAGTTTGTCGGAAGGCGACAGGTGGCTGATGAGATCGCGGGACAGTTCTTCGCATTCGATCTCTTCGGGTGACTTGCGCCGGACTGCCAACGGGGTGCCGCCGGCGACAGACTTGAGTTCCGTCTGCGAAGTGGAATCCGATGACACCACCGAACAGCTTCTGGACACCGGATTGCGGTAACGGTGGTCAGTGTCGGTCACGGCGACCGCTGGCTCCGCCGTGTGCCATGTAGAAGTGCAGCACTCGTCGAGGTCACCGGCAGTGGCGGCAGTAGTGGCCGACGGAGAGTGGATCTGGAGTGGTGGTGGCGGGCCACCGATGCCAAAGTCGCCGGACGACAGCCTGGTAGGTGAGTGGGACGGCGACGGGGCATTCAGGGACAGGCTGCTGTAGCCGCTCTCGGTGGATCCCACCTGGGACAGGTCGGACTGTGACCGTTTCTGCAGGTGCAGGCTGGACGTAGACTCGGAGTGCCGAGGCGGCGGCATCATCATCAACTGCAACGTGGTGATGGCCGCGTCCGCCTTGTTGGGCATGTTGGACGGGTCCGACTGGGTCCGGGGCGTACGGGACGACCGTTTAAAATCCTGTCCGGTCGAGTTGTTGGCCCGTGGCAGAGTTTTCGACAACTGTTGTTGTTGTGAGGGCTGGTCGACGACCGGCCGCTCGGACAGCACCGCGGTGGGCGGCGGTGAAGGCGGCGCGACCGCTACGGCCACCGCGTCGACAATCTGTTGTTTGCCGGGCGACGACTGTTGTTGACTAGTTGCTGTGTTATTGTTGTTATTGTTGTTGCTGTTGTTGTTGTTATAGTGGTGGAGGTGATGGTGGTGGTCCAGCTGCAGGGATTGCAGTCGACCGCCGCTCGAATCCAAAAGATTGCTGCAGCAATCGCTTCCGTCTGGCGCCACGTTTTCCACATCTGTTTGCACACACCGTAAATGTTATAATACAACGAATAAATGCAATATCGTTGTTTTTTTAAAAAGTATTAAACAATGTGTACGGGGGTAGTTTTAAAATTAACAGATTTAGGTTCAGAAAAATTTGCTTTGGTAATAAAAATAATAGGTATCAATTAAATTGTTTGATAAATAAAATTCGAATTAATGGAGGAACCAAGCGTGATAATAAAACTATTACTAGGTAATATCTTTATCAATTTTTGAGTAAAGATTTCATTACACGTTTGAAACACGCATAAGCATCGCGTAGCGTGCAAACATAAAAAGAGTACCAATATTATTATTTGTTTATCATAATAATTCCGGCGATATCACCAGCTGTGCTGTCGTAGGTCGTAGGGTAAATTAAATTAAAAATAAAACTGTTCAATAATATTCAGTTAAAAACCGGTTTATTTGTTATTTTTTTTCTATAATCGATTATGTAGTTTTTATGTTTATTTAGGTTATAAACACAACGAGTTCTTTTAAAGAAGTGTTAATAAACAATGCAGGTAATTTACCGAATTAAATAATAATAAATAGTAATGCAGTAGATAATACATTATAATATTGAAGTTTTCGAGTGTTTTTTCATTTTAGCGGAAAAAGTTTTCGAAACAACTATTACTCGTTTTCATCTCAAAACCAGCCTCCACTACCCTATTACCCTTGATACTAGTTTTTTGGCTTACCTTGAGGTTCCACGGCCGCGGCAGCGTCTCCTCGGCCGCCACTGTTCGGCGAAGCCGTCCTCTTGTAGCTTCCTTCGAAGTTCGGAAGTCCTTTCTCGCGCTCCCTCGGCTCTCTCTTGTAGGCCGACAGGTACGAGGCCTTCGATTGACTCCTGCGGACAAAACGATTTGTACATTTAATAAGACCGTTGAGTTTTTCGACGACTAGTAATAAGACTCGCGACATGGCGGCAGTGCATGACTTATGCGCGCGGACGACGACGCCGTATTAATATTAATACCGAGGTTTGGGAACGAATAAAAACGGCGCTGCCAACCGTCGCCCGCCGTGTGCGTGCGTGTTATTAGCTATAAAGCTAGGAGTTGCAGCTGCGAAAAGCGCAAACATTTGACGGGGAAATCCATATTATTATACACAAGCGCCGAGCGACGACAAACATCCAAGTTGGGTTAGGCAAGAATGCGGGGTAATATACGTATTCAATTTCGCGTTTTACAATATAAAAATTCCGATCTATATAATATCATTATCGCATTATTAAAACCATTTCCGCGGTGTTTGTGTATCGTATCGTGCGGGATCGATACCAATGAGGTGCGGTGAAGGTGCGTGTTCTCAGGCTCGGGTCAACCGTAACGGGCGGGTTACAATATTTTTTTTATGTGCTATATGTGCATATTATATTTTTATGTTATTATTGCGTCTCTGGCGAATACAAACCGCACGCGACGAACGCATAAAATATTATTATTATGTTGAACGTGGCGGAGCAAGGCGATTCTTTTTTTTTTTTATAAAATATGAAACGAAAATAGTATTATTATCATTATTTTATATTCGATTTATGAACATCGAACGTTTGTCATGTTAGACGAGTTTCGTTTTGCGCCGATCGGTTGCATACAGAATGAACGGAAAACACTGTTTTTGTGCCATAACACAATAGTGTCGCAATTAGAAACACAATGTGACGGGTAAATATATTAGGCGGTAAAGCGGGTCCCCGACTATGGTAAAAAATAAATCAAAAGAAGAGAAGAGAAGAGACGAAATTAACGCGCAGCCAGAGGTAATGATATTCACGGACTCGGTCATTGTGTGACTGGCAATTTCGCCAATCGGAGCCCAACATTTCTTTCCGCCGAATTTGTCTCGATTACCATAATATTGCAAACGAGTACTTATATATATTATATTATAATCTATAGGCGATAAGAAACACACGCGTGCTATGTACACGTGCGATGTGGTCGACGGCGACTTTCTTATTATGGAAATATGTTTTTTAGTCGTAATGATAGAACAGACCGTGCGACGTTTTTAATTATTTCATTATTATGTATTATATTATATTTTGCGCAATAATCTATCAGCCGCGGCTGTTCTGACAGATTTGGGACGACGTGAGCGAACACGAGTAAAAGGGCGACGACGAAAATTCCATATCACGACCTTCGCGGCGGATCCAGAACGCATTTATATAAGTAAAGGGGTAATGGCAAGAGGGAGGTTTGGTGAAAATGGTTGTTGAAATTTAAACATAAAACTGTAATTAATTAAACCTCATTAAATATATTGTATAAGATATTGATTAATAAACAAAAATATATAATAAATAATTAGGTAGGTATATGAAAAAAATTGATTGTAAAATTGATTACATTTTTTCCCCATACGATACTACAATTATATTTATAACAGATAACACTTAAGATTAAAACTTATCTTGATAGTTTAATAAAAAGTATAATTAAGTTTAATATATAAATGTACGGATCATCGCTTGCACTCTATAATTGTATACTATACGTCTATACCCACGAATATAATACATTATAAAATCTATAGGTTTATATATAAGTCAATGTAAGACGCAAATAGCAATAATAAATCAGCTTTTAAAACGAAATAAAAAGTTCATTCCAATCAACGACGAGCCCCGAGATCGTTACTTATTCCCTCGGGATCCACGACTGTCCGAGTAGAAAGAACGCGCCGTGTAATCACGCGGACTCGCTGTAAAAATACTTAAAACAAACGCGTAACGTTCACGGAAATCATTTAATTAGGTACCATCACCTCCATCAGACATATATAATATACACTATGAAAAAAACAGTGCAACAGTGAGCTACAATTATATACCGTATACCACTAATTGGGTACGCTCCGCGGCTGTCCAACGGACGACAGACAACCTGCAGCGATCGGCGTCTTTATAATATCGTCGCTAGCAAAAACCTTATAAACAGTACGGTTAACGACCGCATATACCTATGCTGAAATCAAGTACCTAAACCGTTCAAACCACCATCGTCATCAACAAACAGTAATTGTTTATTTTTTTTAAAAAACTGTAGACTAGACTAATGATATCGACGGGGTCTCTATCTATGGGTAGACGACCCAGTGAAAGGGGTGATTGAGAACGCTGCATCCCAACCCAAAATTTCAAGAAAATTAAAAAACATTTTTAGTGTTCTATGAACGTATTATATCATAAAATGTATCTGATAAAATCATAATTTATAAGAAGGTTGATGGAAAAGTCAAAAATTAAATGGCATCGTATAACATAATAGTCAGGCCTTTCCTATGTAACAAATTATCAACACCTGCTGCACCCCAACGCAAAATTCTGGTTGGGCAACTCAGAAGACCGAAAAACTGTATTTTATTGTTAGTAGGTAGTAACTAGTATAGGTACTCGAATGCAACGATACTGGATCTATACAATCGTCAATATAGAGATAATTCGAATACGAGATAAACGAGATATATTTCGTCCACACTTAACTCTGTAAATCTGCTGCGGCGGCGCTCGATGAGTCGTGATCGATATTCGCGTAGTAATATTATTATTGTGATTGATAAAACCAAACCTGTGTGCGAAATTGATATTTTGCGCGGGCGACGAGACCTTAAATATATTAATATTATAGAGGTCGCGAGCGAGAGCGATATCGTCGATATCGTTATTACTTATTATTATTATTATTGCACACACGTCGTCGGGGCAATTCATTTTTTTGGCGATTGAACGCCTGGCGCTCGTGACGCGTTTAGCCTCAAAACAAAACGCGATATATATAACAACTGCAGACTATACGGACATATTGCGGATTTTTCGATCGTTGCACAACCATGTCATTATCTTGGCGCGAGCGCAGAATTTGTTTTTTCATATGCACATACATAATAATTAATATATAGGTACCCGACAACGCACGCGGCGTGTGGACTAATGATCCGGCGACACGTATACGACACCACGCGAATATTATTGTTGTTATAATGTGATTTATTATATTGTATACGAATTATTTATTATTTTGTTGGTTGGAAATGATTGTTTTCGACGGATAAATTGGCCGTTCCGAGGTCGCGTGCTCGACACTTATAATGACCCGCCGAGGTCGGCGCGACACCGCGAGCTCATTGTGCCGCAGCAGTGTTTTATCCGCAGCGAACAATAACACGGGCCTCGAACAATCGGTTCGCGAGCTCTCCGGAGATCTGTTTATCGTACGAGTGAAAAACGAGAAAATCGACAACAATAACACATATTACATATTTAGTGTATTACGACATTCCGTCGGCAACGCACCCGTGTTTTAACACGTTTTCGAATTTAACAACTGTAGTTGGGCACCTACCTATAATATTATATTATTATATATTCGGCCGCGAGGATTTCGTTCGCAAATCGCCGAAACCTACATCCATATACCGCACAATAAATTTAATATAACGACGACCATTGCAAACCGCAAGGTCTGTACACGCAACATACACCTATTAAACTTCACCTGCAGCAGGTCCGAGCGTGTGCAGCCCTGTGCGTCTTTCGCAAACGCGTTTTACATAACGCACGGAGTCGCGATAAAAATCCGAAGCGCGGCGTCGAAAAAAAATCGACCGCAAAAACAACACGTCCGTAGTTGCCTCTCTCGCGTAGGATTATAGAGGAAAAAAAACCGCGAAAGCCCGATCTCCCCGCCGTGGTTATGGTAACCCGAACCGCCGCCGCCCCGGACACATCACGCTCGGTCGTATATAATAATAATATGTAACCGCACTCGTGGTATCCTCTCCCGCACACGCACCCGCGTGTACGTATACTCTGCAATTAAAATAACGTTGCATTAAGTCGTCGCACGCACAACATCACATCAGAGCATATTATACTTTATTCGTACACATACATATTATTATTATTATTATGTATAATACCTGTGCAACACGGAGCGCGAACGCAACGGGATACTCGAGGCGGTGTCGGCGAGGGCAGGGGACGGTGACGGAGAACGCACACTATCGCTGTGTGTGTGTGTACGTTTTCACGGCCTCCGGGGTCTCGCGGATGAAGATTAATCAAACACCACATAAACGTATAATAATATTACATATTATTATTATTATATTAATATTATCATTATACGCTCGTACGATGGGGGTATACGCGCGAGCGCTCGCGATCCAACTCGTAGAAAGCAAAAGTTCCTCTACCGGTTTCCGTCATCGTGCTGGCGGTTGTTCACGGCCAACCGAGAGAGTTGTCGTCGTTGTTGAAGCCGCGCGCCGCCGTCGTTATCCGTCGTTCGCCAAACCAAACGGCGTCGTTTTTTTTTTTACAGATTTTTGTAAACATTTTCTAAAATATCACTCTACTAGTTTCGTGAGTCTATTTGAAATTCTTGTGGAAATTCGGTTACGCAAGCGCACAAGCGGTTTGACAAAAAAAAAAAATAACGAAAATTGCCAAATGTATATTATATATTACTATACTGCATACCTAACCTACTGCAGCGATTTGCTAGTACGTAGTTATAATATAATTATTATATTACAATATAGAAGAAACCGCTATTTCCGGAGTTATTTATTTCGTGACAGTCTTTGTTTACTTGCTTAAACGCATGCAGATTGCGTATTGCGTGCAGTTATTGACAAATTTTCGTCTTGTATATAATTTACAGTTTTACCGCCGAACGATAATTATATTTTTATTACTCCTCCCCGTCGAAAGCAATCAAAAATAATTACGTTGTTTCTCTTTTTACACCACCCGAACAGCACACAACATTATTGCCACGAGTTTCGAAACGCAAACACCGCCGCCTCAGCGATAACACCTACCAAAAAATAGTACTTAATTCTTATATGTTTATTATATGCTCGGGTAATGTCGTACTCGCAGCAGTAAAATATATATAAATATACTAAAACACCACAAAACACAATTAGATATGGTTTATTTTTTTTTCGAAATAGGGTTATAAGCTCGACGACAATGGATCGAGGGGGGAACCATGTTCCCACACGCTGCAACCGATAGCATTCGTCATGTTTACAAAACAGCACATGTATGTGTGTGTGTGCGTGTTTGTGTGGGAGAGGATATATATTATCATTGTGTGTGAATGTCGAACGACGATTAGGTTTACTCAACTTGGGAAAAGAATGCCGTCTCGTGTATGAACAATAATACAATACAATAACGTCGTCGTTGGTACACACTACACACACAAACAGGCACACTCATCACTATACGCGGGTTCTAACTATACGACGTCAGCTAAGAGTGGATTTTTCTAAAAAAAAAAAACATCATCTAGTATGTTTTATAATACATAATAATATATTATAGGTAGGAACACGACTTAAATATACGAGACGAGGTAAACGCGCTTTTACGCATTTATTAATTTATTATGTAATAATAATATATATTATAATATATACGTACACGTACTTCGAGAATCCGACGTTTAGTTTCCTCACACCAGACGACAAAATGTTCAAATACCTGCACAACACCAACGATTTGATAGCTTCACGCTTGCGCATCCTGATCTTAGTAATTTTTTTGTATAATAACCCCAAATGTTTTTGGTCTCGCGCGGGATCTAGATCCTGATGTCTAAGTCTGGCGACTCTAACCTCACTCGAGTTTTGACCAAAGATTTCCCAGATATATTTATATGCGCGTAGAAGGGATCGAACTCAACTATATACTCGAAACGGTGGAGTCATAATAATACATGACACTACTGCAGTATATTCGACCCGAATACAGTCGTCACCTAGCTGTTATGTAATAATTATACATAATTGTCGCGCGTACGGCTTCTCCTGCTGGGGCTTCCCATACTGTCATAATGATTTAATTTTGTCGGCAAACAACGACGAGGCTTCCTTCACCCCCGTAAACGCCATCTGGACAAGACGTCAATAACAAGACGAACCTCTGGTAGGACGTCTCGAGTATATAATATAATCTAATTACTGTCATTTTTTACAAGTCTGTCGTCACGTAGTGGCGTATAAGGGTGTGTCCGCCACCGATTACTGCACGGTATACCTATACGCGGTATTCAAGGTAGGTGGCGGGGGCGTGGTCCGTATCAAAATATAAAAAAACATATCCGAGTACGGCGGCGGCAAGAATGAAAAAAATAATGATAAATAAATATAAAAACAGACTTTCGTGAGCACAAAACAGATCGAGTCCTTGGAAGCACACTGGTCGCATATAATATTATATTATATCCTGTTCGGAATTCCATTATTATATTTTCCTGTAACACGTTTCAATCGGCGGCGCGCACGGTGTTATAATTGGCCGAGTTAAGTCGTCACGGGCAGTGAACACCGAGTTGTAGCAATAATAATAATATATAATATCATCAAAGAAGCATAATATGTATTTCGCAAAGCGTGGTGATGGATCGGTAACGATTTTTCGTCGAGCCACATGAAAAACGCAATCGTGACGACAAACCACTGACCGTATGTGTGTGTATAATAAAAAGTGTACGTGATTTGGTTCAAAGACCCCCGCGAACGGATATATACACACACACACACACATATTATAGTGAACAAGCGCAGTTGTTGGTCGGTCGTCGTTATTCCTGCAGCGAAATGACTATAATATTATAAAGAGGAACTATACGCGACGAAGACGACTGCACGACGGAATCGTTGTATTCGATGGTGGAGGAGTTGGAGGAGAGGAGGAAGAAAGAAAGAGAAAAAAGTATGAAATAATCGCAATAAATAACGGGAATGCGTACAATATAGGTATATATACTAAGACGAATGTTATGTGTATGTGTGTGTAACGGACGTGGGCCAAACGCGACGACATTTCGGTAGTCGTGAAGTCCGGATGAAAAACCTTCCGTTGTGCGTCGTCGTCGTGAGTAGAGTTCCGACCCGAACCGGATTTGAATAATACAATGACCGCCACTGCCACAGGTCGGTAGAGCACACAATAATTACGGTAAAAATAACAAAATTGTAATAAAAAATGAGAAAAAAAAATTATAATAACAACACATAATAATAATTAACTGTGCGGAAATTGACTTGGCACAGGCTGCAGTACACACAATGTACATAATATAATATTATAATACTATGCACACGATTGTTGTTTCAAAAACTCGGAACGAACGAAACGTATCTCCCCTGTACCGAGTTCGCTGCAATTTCGGCGCGTTACGGAAATAATATAATAATAACGTTATTACTTATTGCGAGGCTATAATATAACATACAAAATTACTACTACTCGTATAATTTTAAGTTACATTTTTCCGTCGTTGCTTCTTACCATAACTTATGGAAGGAAGCAGTACTGCTATACATAAATTACGACATACACGGTCAACCGCGTACGCCGCCATACAGACGTTCTAAAATAATAATAATATTATATTATTATGTGCGTATTTCGTGCGATTGAAAGTTTATGGGATAACTGCACGCGATCTAATATTGTTATTAATTGTTGTAATAATAATAATATTAATTATTGCCGTTTGTCAGAGAATATTGTAATATCGTACAGTATGCAACGCAGAAAAACGGTTTTTATTATCATTAAATTAATTAAATTAATTGATATTAATTTAGGTAGCTATAAAATGTTGAGAATAAAAAAATCATAATGATAATAAGTGCTAATTATAGCTGTAGCGAAAAACGGGAGATGTTTATCTTGCGACGGCGGGACTGGTTCGAGTGGCGGCGGCGTCCGTCGTGGAGGCGATAACGAATTTTGCACACGCACGCGCGGTGTGCCAAACAACAAGGTCCGTTCACATTTGACAATACGACGACACAAATAATATTAATAATAAAAATCAAACATCGTCCGATCTGTAAGACCATACATACGCACACAGCACACACAAAACGAATTATAATTTATATTGTGTACTAATGTATTATTATGTGGGACAACGTTCGCGTCACAGACGATAGTTTTGCTTCCGAGAAAAGTTTTGCTTTACCGGACGATCGCCGTAGCACATAGCCGCACCGCATACATTATATTATAATAAATAATAATAGGTACTGTATTATTACTTAGTTTTAGAATACGTTTATTCCACCGACGCATATACGATTTTTCCATAATGTAATAATATACAGGTCATATACTACACGGCTGGCGAAAGAACAAGCAGACAGCGGTAGGTATAGTACATAAGACATAACAGTATATTCAGTATGGAGGTATCCGATTTGACGAACGCGATCCCGTTACGTACAATATTTATGTACTATATATTATTATAGTATAACTATAAAATGATTTACGATAGTTTGCTTTTTAAACTCGTTTGTTTTGGTGACACTCCGGTAAGACTTGTTTTAGACATCATGTTTTCCATCGTCGATTCTAAATCAGTCGTATGCGAGATTGAAAAAAAAGGACGAGTTATCAAGAAAAAAAAACTATAGAAGATTTTCCGGCGAATTTGTATTTTGGAATTTTTGAACTGACAGAGACGGTATATTATGGAAAATAAAATCACAACGCTAGACGATCACACTCGGCAAATATTGCGAAAAATCATATAACGCAACAGACGATTAAAAAACCACATTCGTATAATATACACAGTCGAGGTACCTATATCTAGAATTATAAACAAAATATACACATGACGTGTATAAATGCTATTATTATAGTTTCGCCGGTCACATATTGTATTTCAAACGGCATGTCCTTCATGCATGTATACGTTTACACCTAAGAACGCACAAATTCAATACGAATTATGACAAGTAAATTTTTTTGAAGTCCGTATTAAATTTCAAACGCCCAGACACCTAGTAGACTCTAGGTGGTATAGGTATACATATACTATATTTAAATATTTATATATTTGTTTAACAATTCGATTTAAATGGCAAAAATCTACTATAACTCATAATTTGAAATTATTTTTAGAGTACTCAAGATATAGTATAACTGCATGTAGTGACATTAAAAATATAATAATTACTATACTGTTTTTTGAGAAGTATTTATTTTAGAAATATTCCCCCAAGTACGGCTGTGCTCGATAGTTTAAGAAAATAACTGATTTAAACAGATCTATAGATTCCACCGCCGAAGAGAGACAAAAAAAAAAACGTAGGTTGAACACCAACAATTCCAATCTACAGACGAGGATGAAATATCATCAAATTGACGAACGATTTCGTGACGCGCCAGAATGAGAAAAAAAAATTATTCCTGCTGCCGAAACGCTACCGAGGCGTCACGGTCTACCGTTTCATCAATCGATATATAGAACAAAATATTATAATAATAGTACACGCAAACAAATATTCCATTGTTTATTTCTCCTCCCCCTTGCACCATCGACTGGGTTACATAATTGTATATACGTATACATTATGTATTATACCGCGATTATAATAATATTATCCGTTGGGACTAAACACGCAAATAATATACACAACCTCAGTCCACAACCTTGGTCCAATTCTCAAAACTCATACCCCGAATACATGCGTATACAAACACGATGCGAATTTTTATAATATCGAATACCTATTATAACATAGCCCTGGGGAAATGAAAAACCTCTATGTAGACGAGCGACGTCTCACATATTATACACATTATATTATACGACCCATTGTGTGAGACGTGAGTGTGTTTTGAGCAATGACCCCAAACCAAGTGCAAGCTACTTCCGACCGTGAGCAAGAAGGCGGCGGTGGAGAAATACGTAATCATTACGAATCGAGTGCGTTCGAGGCAAGAAGATCCTCCGTGAAAACATTTTTCCATAAAAAGAATTCTAAAACAGATGTTCGCGGTAAACGACCTCGGTCACGAGGTGGCGTTTACATCGGGGTCCCGTGAATTATTCATTCCGATTTTATACAGCTGATGGGAATGGCTGCTGGTACTGCGGAAATTAGTGGCAATCTGATTTTCCATAACGAGCAGACAATAAGTGGACGCGCGTTCTGTGGTCACCGAATTTGTTGGAACTTAATATAGGTAGCTACTTAGTATCATATAGTGTTCTGTGTTAGTGTATAACAGTCCTTATTGTATACCTAGTTATATTATTCAATTATTATTGTGTCATTGCTGCAGTGATGGTATTTGCATCTTGTTTTTTATTATTATACTTTAAACAGTCAACTATTCCATTTACCTAACCATTTGTATCTGCATATTTATCATCTATCATAGCATTGAGTATCTAATTGTTGTAATGCATCGAAAGTACCGTTTTGTATTTTATTAATACATCTATAGACAATAGACTTTAAATTTTAAATCCTGTATTCCTGAGGAAATAATATATACATTATTGTATAAGCTAATATGTTCAAACCTACGTTAAATCTATCAACTAGCTTAAGCTCAATTATTTGGTACTTCAAGTGGGATAATAATGGAAACTATAGCTGTCTCCCATGTCGGCTGAATAATTATATAATATTTTGTTTCATGTAATGAATACACTAACTAATGAAGTTTAATTACACCTAGTTAAACAACTGAGAGGCAAGGTCATGTGAAGAGTACAACGTTGTGGATTCTTGCAGAACAATGATTTTTATATATTATAGTATTATACTCGTATCATTTTTCAAGGAATGTGCAGAAAAAACAAATAAGGTGTTAAATACTGTTAAATGCTTTAATGCATCTTTATAGATATTATATACTATATAGGTAAGACATAAGTTATAGTGTATATTGAGTTCCAACCTCATAGAAATTATACAATGGCGGGGACTTAAGCGCATTACCTCATCCTCCTCCTTCTCGTAAATAAAGGGTTATGAAGATTTAGAGACGATGCCAAAAGCTACAAGGAGAGAAAATTATCGACGAACTCGCTGAATGCGTGCGATCACAGCGACCATTCCATTCGCCGTCGCTTGTCGCCGATCGGAGAAAAACAACTAATATAGAAAGCCGAACGGATTCGGTCGCATATATATAATATTAAAAATATTATATATACACTCATAGTATATTATGATACATTTACGTAGGTATCGCCATCGCTGTGCATCGGACACGGGGCGGGTTTTTCACGCGCGTTTTCCGGTGAAAGCCTCTATTATATATTATACATCAATTATTGAACATTATGTTCTGACGATATTATGACCTCCTCCTACATAGTTCTCTTCCACTGCCGCGCACATAGGCCGACTGATGTGTACTCGGCACGTAATTATAATAACTACACATTTTACAGAAAATTGACGCGAAAACTCTATGGTTTTGGGAGGGCCGACCCGAACTATCGTTATCGCCTTAACTCTTTGCAACCTGCGGGGACACGTTATAATAATATTATTATCATGACGATGTTTTTCACTCGGCGCACTTGCCTCGGGCGGGATTAATGCACGCGTCCGTCTCGAAACACTCTCCGATAGTATTATATATATGTTATAGCGGATACTTATATTCTTATATACGAAGAAATAATATAGTCGTAACCGTGAAAGTATAATAATAATAATAATATGATCCCCCGCAACCTTGACGCAGAGTCTCTCAAACAGGCAAGGCCGTCGTCGACTGACGTTCAAAGTGCATACAGGTATATATGCTATAATATATATAAATATAGGTACAGAGAGCATTATTATTACCAGAAAAAAAAACGATAGTTTTCTTAATAAATATACATACATAATAGATATAATAATATGTTGTTAAACGTTAATTACATACAATATAAACCAATAAAACGAGTTGTCATTTGTACTACAATGATATTAATATTAACTATTATGTATATACTATATACAGGCTATATATTTATTGACGACTCCCGCAGAGGTGTCATTACACTAGCTATATCGTTATTATTATTATGGTCCATTACGAGTACTTAGTACTGTAGCTGTTGCCTGTTTGCATATACGCGCGCATGCGTACAGAGAAACCTTCAAGTCGTCCAGTCTTTATTATAATATCATACCCAACGTTAAGACTTGTGTTTAGAGTTGGCGTAGAGTTTTCAGTAGATAATTAGTGATTATCACTATTACACCAAGGGCGAAAATGTATTGTTATATAGTCAAAACACACAAAAATCTGCAAATCTCAGAAATGCAACCAAAAACGTGGAATATTATTTTGTTTTTAGTGAGGCATTTGAACTAGTATAATACATATAATAATATATTGCATACCACCTATACTACACATTTACTGATCATTTTATTGTATAAATTTACTAAAACGACCACAAGATACATACAATATTATGTACAAGCGTGTTGTATAGTTACGTATATTCTATACTCATAAAATTTCTATACTGTTAACATTTATCAACTATATATACACGCCTTCAAATATATATAATAGAATCTCGGACGAGGATTCCGCGAGGCCGAACTCTAATCGATTAAATATATCGTACACGGCATCGACTTTCGTTTCGTTTACACAATATTTTATTAGGTACGCATATAGATACGCGACAACAACAAAACGGTTTTATAAACTCGGAAGAATATGCATATTTCTGTATAGGCGAAAATCACACACACTGCACACACACACACACACACACACACACACACACACACACACACACACACACACACACACACACACACACACACACACACACACATACACTAAACACACCGCAAATCTAAGAGCGAGTAGTCTATCAATTATTATGTTATGCATGTACACAAATTTCGACACATGTAATAAGATCATTTTTCTACTCCCAGAGACGTGACGGCGAACTTGCGCTCGTTTATAATATGTGCATGCGAGTGAGGTAGGTACCTATATACTATAAATATACATAAATATATAGGTATATGTATTTCTCCCCTGTCTTTTGGCCCGTATATAGAAAGTTTTAGCGACAAAATAAAAAATAAAAAGTAAAAGCGACGACAGCCACAACTGCAGCGTATAATATTAAATATACACACGAACATAATATGTATACGATATACATATATATATATCGTACATGGAGATCGTCATAATAAACGACAAATTGGAAGAAAAACTGGTTTCGTCTTAAGTGCAGAACAGAGTATTTTTCTCAATATGTATACACGCAGCGTTCCTACCACACTAGCTGTTACTATTACTACCTATATAATAGGTACTACTATATTACAACAATATAATAATAATAAAGCAAATATTACGAGTTTACATAATATTGCAGTGATAACAGTGTATACGACGAGGATTTGCATACAAGCGTATATTATATTTCACTGGTTCTATTGGGTAACCAATTATTGACGAAAGTATTGCTGCCCGTTAACCTTTATAGGAGAAAAAAAGCGGCGGCCGAAAAGGTCAATGAAGAATAAATATTGTTCCAAGCCGGTTTCCGTCACACGACCGATATCTCGACATAAATTACATATGCGCTGAGGAGAAGAAGAAAAAGAAGAAGATCGAGATGCTATCATCGATATAATATCTCTCTCCCCGCCCAAAACGAACTCGGGGGGAGGGAATTTTTATCATGATTTCGAACGTGCCAAATGCGCGCGAGTTCTGCTGCGGCGTTTCACACTTGCCGAATCGACGACGGTTGTTTTTTTCGCCAATTTCTCGCACGGTCGATACGAACGATTACGCACTACCGCGTCGTAATTAGATCAAAGATATTTTTGGGACGGCGGTAAAAGTGTTTATCCGTAACGAATTCGACGTGGCGAAAATAACACCCGCGGTCTTAGCGTGCGTAGGTCGATTTACACTATACATAATATAATATATATATATTATATTACCTACACTTAATGATTTGTATGACGACGACGATGATGAGTGTAAAAATAACGAAAATCATGGTCCAGAAAAAGTATAAATAGGTACCAGTCACAATGTTTATATACGTTTTATGTTTTCACAAGCTGTTATATCGACGTTTTGGCACGATGCATCCATGGCGCAAGTCGTTTTATGCATCGAACTAACAACATAATAAAAGCACAAATGTTGCAACTTGCAGCTTATGTCTGGAAATGTTATCATTTAATTTAGAGCGATCGTGATGTATCTCCAACTGTCAACTGGCCAATAATTACTAACTAGCTGTTATTTGTATGAATCGGGACACACCACCTCCAGGATAATTGCTAGAGATAGACAAAGACGTTATCGAATTTATTATATTGTAGACTGAATTGACATTTGGTATAAGGGTGAAAAATAGGTAGGTACCTAAAAAACTTTACATCAAATATTATGGAAAACAATATTTCTTGATAAAAGATCAAGAATTTATTAATTTCCACTACCAAATTGTGCGTTAATTATATTCGTTAAAAATTAATAAAAATTACCTAAACGGCTAAAAAAAAATACAAAACAAAAGTTTCACCTATGTATCTGTTACATGAAACAAAATGTGTATTTGGAATGCATTGTCCAAGAGCATTAAAACAAAAAAAGCACTTTTCATTGAAGTCCGGGCCCTAGTTATTAGTTACTGGGCCTTAAGTATGACCTACGCATGCCACAATAGTACAATACACCACATTATGAAATTAAATGCTTTGACTTGTTCAATAACAATAGCGGGATTACTGTTTCAGTATAATGAGCACATTTATATTAAGCAGGTCATTCGTAAAGGAGATAGTGATTTGAGAACTGAAACTATAAAATGACAGAAGAAAAAAAAACATAAAACCAGCTACCACGCTATACGAGAATTTGATAGTTTTGCTATGTTTATCAGTAATATAAAATCTTATCTTATTTACATATTATAACTAATATTATTATTTTTGTGATGTTCCGTAAAACGTTGTCTTTTATAAGTAATATTATATACAACAGCCAATCTGTTCTAAGGAAGATTACTAAACTACTTTACAATGTAG